TTTTTATTCATATTCCTCTTGTTAACTTAAAAAATCACACAACACTGCATTTAGAAAAGGAGACTATTTCTTAAACAACTTGCAAGGTGGACATCCCACAAGACCAGACACAGGCCCTTCAGAGGAGAGGATGGGGCAGGAGCTTCATGCTGACTGGGTTGGCTAAACATACTTATTCAACAGGTTACAGGAGGAGCTATGAATATTCATGAAGGCAGTTCTGCCGTATGTATCATATAGCACATGTTCACTTTGTGGTGGAGATGTAACATTTAAATGTATTATAGTTAGGCCCTATACATCAAAAGGTCTTTCTAAGACCCAAAGGCACTTGGTGCACAGACTTTGTAAACCAGCCAGGACCAGCCATGGTCAGTGGTCTCTTACCAGGAGAGGTACTGAAATCTGTCTCTTGTCTAGTCAGAGGTGTAGCTATGGCTGGTGGATGGGGGTTCAGTCAGGCAGGTTTATTCAGTTTGAATGTGACAAGCCTAGGTGTGGTTTTTGTTTTTGTTTCGCTTTATGTTTTTTGTTATTTGCCCTGATGGATGTTCTGTATGTTTCCTGGATGTATGGTTTGGTGTCTGTCATTAATTTGGGGACATTCACACCATTCCACCATTTCTCCTGCCCCTTCTTCTCTTTCCTCCTCCTGATTCTCCCATTGTGCCAGTCATATCCTTTGATGTTGTTCTTGGATGGTGTCTTCTGTTGGTGTATTAGGCTGTTCTTGCATTGCTATAAAGAAATACCTGAGACAGAGTAATTTATAAAGAGATTTATAAATTCTTTTTTATGATTTATGACAGTTCTTGCAGGCTATACCAGCATGGCACCAGCATCTGCTCAGCTTCTTGGGGGCATCAGGGAACTTTTACTCATGGCGGAAGGCAAAGTGGGAGCAGGCATTTCACAGGGTGAAAGCAGGAGCAAGAGAGAGAGAGTGAGGGGGTGGGTAGGTGCCACACACTTTAAAAAAAAACAGGGTGGGCACGGTGGCTCATGCCTATAATTGCAGCACTTTGGGAGGCCAAGGTGGGTGGATCATGAGGTAAGGAGTTCGAGACCAGCCTGGTCAACATGGTGAAACCCCATCTCTACTAAAAATACAATAAATTAGCTGGGCATAGTGGCACATGCCTGTAATCCCAGCTACTTGGGAGACTGAGGCACAAGAATCACTTAAACCCAGGAGGCGGAGGTTGCAGTAAAATGAGACTATACCACTGCACTCCAGTTGGGGTAATAGAACGAGACTCCATCTCAAAACAAAAACAAAAACAAAAAACAGTTCTCACACGAACTCAGAGTGAGAGCTTACTCATCACCAAGAGACTGAAGGGATGGCGCAAGCCATTCATGAGGGACCCGCCCCCATGATGCAAACACCCCATGCCGAGCCCCACCTCCAGAACTGATGATTATAACTCAACATGAGATTGGTGGGGACACATGCTCAAACTAGATCAGTTGATTTTTTTTTTCCCATCCCCTTTTCTCCTTGCATTTCAGTTTGGGAAGCTTCTGTTGATTTATCTTCATATTCACTGATTCTTTCCTTTATTCTATCTAGTCAATTAATGAGCATTCTTTATTTCTATTAGTGTGTTTTTGACTTCTAGCATGTTTTTTTGATTATTATTGTTTCCATCTCTCTGCTGACATTACCTATCTAGTCTTGCATATTGTCTAATCTTTCCGCTAAAGCCAGTTTATCCAGGAGTTTCTGCTTTGGGTGAGCAGCTCTCAGGTGCTGTGTCTCCCTGGATGTGCCTGTCTCTTCAGAACAGGGCGCCAGTTTGTCTGGCAGCCTCAGTTCTCTGATGGGCCCATGAAAGGCTGCTGGTTTGCCACGCGCCCTGCTATTCTCTGCTGTAAGCATGGGAGTGGTGACTGCCAAGCACGTCACATGACACCAGTTGAAGTTGTGGAACTTCAGAGCCAGGCTCCTAAAGCGAGACTTCCAATCCACCTTCTGTACAGGTTTCCTTTAAAAAATGGGGTGCACGACCGGCACGGTGGCTCACTCCTGTAATTCCAGCACTTTGGGAGGCCTAGGTGAGAGGATGATTTGAAATCAGGAGTTCAAAGACCAACCTGGCCAACATAGTGAGACCCTGTCTCTATTAAATAAATAAATGAAATAAAAATAAATAGGCTGAGTGAGACACAGGGACTCCAGTCTTCCTCTGATGTCCCAGCTCTCAGAACAAGGTTGCTTTGCTTGCTTTTCCTTTTATAAGCACCATGTGTTAGGCAACTGCTTAGGTGGTTCCCTGAGGTATTCATGCTCCTACGTGACACCCTCCTCTGCATGGGGCCAACCCAGTGACTGTTTCTCATGAGCTGAGCCTGGAAAGCATGAGGCACAGCTCTGCTTCCTCGTGTCACAGCTCTGATCTTGTCAGTCTCTCATTGGCTCCTGCAACAAACGACCACAAGCTAAGTGGCTTTTACAACAGCAGAAGTTTATTCCTTCACAGCTCTGGAGGCCAGAAGTCCAAAATCACTTTTAACGGGCTGAAATCAAGGCATTGGCAGGTCCAGGCTCCCTCGCATGGCTCCTGGAGAGAATCTGTTCCTTGTTTCTGGCGCCTCTGGTGGCTCCGGCGTTACTTGGCTTGTGATTGCATCACGTCCACTTTCAGGGCCCCATCTTCATCTCTGCTCCATCTTCCCATGGCCCTCTCTTCTGTGTGGCACCACATTTCCTTCTGCCTCCCTCTTACAAAGATGCATGTGGCCAGGCATGCTGGCTCATGCCTGTCATCCCAGCACTTTGAGAGGCCAAGGCAGGAGGGTCGCTTGAGGCCAGGAGTTCAAGACCAGCCTGGCCAACACAGAGACCCTGTCTCTGTTATTTATTTATTTTTGAGATAGGGTCTCACTTTGTCACCTAGGTTAGAGTGCAGTGGTGCGATCCTGGCTCACTGCAGCCTCAACCTCCTGGGCTCAAGCAATCCTTCCACCTCAGGAGTAGCTGGGACTACAGGTGCACACCACCATGCCCAGATAATTTTTCTATCTTTTGTAGAGATGAGGTCTTGCCATGTTGCTCAGGCTGGTATCGAACTCCTGGGCTCAAGAGATTTACCCAACTCAGGCTCCCAAAGTGCTGGGATTACAGGTGTGAGCCAGTGTTTAGGACCCACTCGGATAATCCAGGACAATCTATCTCAAGATCCTTAATGACATCCGGAAAAAAAATACTGTTTTCCCGTATGAGGTAATATTTACAGGTTGCCTGGATTAGGACTTCATGGCTTTATAAGGGCCATTTTCCAGCTGTGCATGGCTTGGTGGGCTTCTCTTGTTTGTAGGAAGCTATGTGACAAGCGCAGTACCTGCAATGAGCTGTGACTGGCTGATGTAGACTGGGGTGGACTCCAGGCAGGTGGTGCTCGAAAAGGTACAAACTCACTCTGCCGTCATCAACTCACCTTTCCGGGTGCCTCTGAGGGGTGAGGCCTGTGGAGTGAGGTCCAAGCATGCCAGATTTTGTCCACTGAGCCAGGCTCCTGGAGGCCCTGACAGATGCAGCTCCAGGCCCCAGGCTGCACAATTTGCCCCATGCCGCCACAGCCTCTGGATTTAGGATAACCGAGGCCAGCGTCTGGGACCCCAGTGCTCCAGTGAGGGTCAAGGAAGCCCGGAGCTTACTCCAACCTCCAGGGCAGAGAGGACGGAAGATCCCAAAGGCCCCAGGGCTCGCGGAAGGGCGCGGCTGAGCAGGGGCAGCTGCTTTTTCTCTCCCAGGCTTCCTGCTGTGCCTTTTACTACCCTCTACCTTCCTGGTGCTGGGGCTCCGCAGGGCTGGCTCTAAAGAAGTCCCAATGCCAGCCTGGGGGCGCAAGGAGGGAGCAGCCTGTTTCAATTGTCGGAGACTTGCTCCTAGTTAGGTGGTAACTGTCCTTATGATCCCCCACAAAACCAGCCGGGCAGGGGGCAGAGAGCCAGGCTCGTGGAGAAGAGGCCGCTGCTGGAGGAGAAGCAACCCTGAGCGTGGACCCCTCAATCTTGCCCCTTACCCGTGCACCCTTCGCCTCACACCCTCGCGGCCCTCATCCACGCGTCCCTCACCCTACACCCACCCACCCGTCACTCGTTCGCCCCTCCCCCCTCCCCCGCGCGCCCTCCCCCCTCACCCCCGCGCCCCTCATCCACGCGCCCTCCCCCCTTCACCCGCGCGCCCTCCCCCCTCACCCGCATCGCCCCTCACCCCTCATCCACGCGCCCCTCGCCCTTCAGTCCTCACCCGCGCGGGCCAAGAGGGTCCCGGGCGAGGGCAGCTCCCTGCGGGTGGGTGCGGGGCTCCGGGTTGGCTCGACCTGCGAGGCCGGCAGCAGGGCCCAGGCTCCGCACACGCCTAGACTCCGGCTCAGGAGCTGCCTTTTCTGCAAATACGCGCCCAACGGTTCATCCCTGAGAACTGCACGGGGATGGGGAGAGGTCGCCCCGCGTTTCTTCAGCGACAGCGACCATGGCCACAACCACGATGAGGACAACGGCCACGGTGACGGGCCCGGAGCATCTGCTCGCGGGGCGCTGGCATCGGAGCGGAGATCCGCGCGGGGCCGCCCCCGAGCGCTGCAAACTCCCACCGGGTGCCCGGGTCTCCTGGGTCAGGACGGAGCTGGACGAGACTCGTCCCCGGGCGCCCGCGTTCAGGACCCGCACGATGGGGACGTCCGGACCCTGCAGCCCCCGCCCTCCAGGACCACGCCCTCCGCTAGGACGGCCGCGCGCCGGGACCGCTGGAGACTGGTTCACGCTGGAGACGGGTTCACGTGGGCGCCAGGCCTGAGGGACGGCCCCGCCCGGCTGGTATTTCCCGACCCGGCGGGAGAAGCCACGCTCCCCCGCCGCCCCGACAGCCCCGGCTCCCGGCCCGCCTCGGCCAACCCTACCCCGCGCGCTCTAGGACCCGGCGGCGCCGCCCAACAGCCCCGGCGTGGGCGGGGCCCGGCATTGTGACGCCACGGGGCGGGGCTTCCCGGCGCCGGAGCGGACGGACGCTGGGACGCGCGCGGTTAAGCGGCGCGGGGACGCGGGGCGCAGGGCGCAGGGCTAGGGGCGCAGGTAAGGAACGCGGGAGCGGCGCGGGGTCCTCGCGGGGCGGCCTAGGGCGGCCGGGGACGCGGGGCCAGGGCAGTTGGCCGCTGCCCCCAGTCCCCCAGCTTGGTCCTGTGGGGTCACCGGCCCGGCACCCCCTCCCACGAGCGGTGCGCCCCATCCTGGGCCTGCGCCCCCTCCCCCGACCCCGTCCCGGGACGCGCGTGGACTCCTGCCGGCTAAGCGCACCCGGGCGGTGACACCGGGGGCTGCGCCCGTCCTCGACCCCGACCCTGGGAACCCTCCCCAGCCCCCGCCGGGCGCGTCTCGGGACCCCCAGACACCCCCGCGCCCCGGTCGCCCCCGCTTTGCCTCGGGTTCTGCGGCCGGCGCGGGTCGGGTCGGGTCCTTGCGCGCCGGCCCAGCCTCCCTGGCGGGACTCCAGCCGCTCCCCGCTCCCCGCAGGCTCCGAGGCCGCAGGAGCGCGCGGAGCGGCGATGAGCAGGCGGCCGGTGGCCCGCGGGGCGCGGAGCTGGTGACAGCCTCGGCCAGGCGGGCGCTGCGATGGAGGCCGAGGGCCTGGACTGGCTTCTGGTGCCACTGCACCAGTTGGTGTCCTGGGGCGCGGCCGCGGCCATGGTCTTCGGAGGGGTGGTGCCCTACGTCCCGCAGTACCGGGACATCCGCAGGACGCAGAACGCCGACGGGTTCTCCACCTACGTGTGCCTGGTGCTGCTGGTGGCCAACATTTTGCGGATACTCTTCTGGTAAGTTGGGGGTTTGCTTTCCTGGGCTGCGCTCGGAGAAGAGGGTTTCTCCTTTGGAGTTTCTGGTTGAGTCCGGGGGAGCAGCAGGGTCCACACCTCCTGGCTGGGCTAGCGTCCTGCTCTGCCGTCGATGGGGTACGTGGCCTCAGGCGAGTCACTTCTTAGGGTGAGATTATTTTTTCCAGAAAAACGGTGGGATTGGAGAATAGAATCTCAGAGAAAATCTCCAGATCTGCCTTCTCGCATAATGCCCCGCATGGGTACTTAGCAAGGCACCTCTCTGCTGGGCAATGGCCTAGGCCTGCCTGTAGAGAGGAGCTGTTCCTGCCCGCCTTTCTCATGTTGTGTCATTTTTCTTTATTGTTTTGAGAAAGGGTCTTGCTCTGTGGTCCAGGCTGAAGTGCATGATATGATGACTGCTTACTGCAGCCTCCATGTTCCTGGGCTTGGGTGATCCTCCCACCTCAGCCTCCCAAGTAGCTGGGACCACAGGTGCACCACCACACCCAGCTAATTGTTTTTTTGTATTTTTTGTAGAGACGGGGGGGGGGGTTTCACTATGTTGCCCAGGCTGGTCTCGAACTCCTGGCCTGAAGCATTCCTCCCCACTGGGCCTCTGAAAGTGCTGGGATTACAGGCTGAGCCAGGGCGCCTGGCCTGCCTTATTTAAATAGGAAGTCACGCTCTCCGGAGACTGTCTTGTTCCTCTCAGGCCAACTTCCTCTTTGTATTTGCATTAGGCTGAGGAAATTGAAATTAATTTTAACAGTTGTTGAAGCCAGACATAATTGGGAGAATGAGTTTTTGGAGAAAATGAAGAGGTCTCACAGCTGCATTCTAAGGCCAAAAACGTCTGGGATTTTTCTTTCTGCCGGGTGATCCCAGCCTCTCTGTCCGTGTAGATTGGAAGGTGTCTGCTGCTGTTCCCATGAAGAGGGCCTGGTGGAGGGGTGGAGAGAGGGAGTCTAGGCAGCTGGTGTCAAGAACTCTGCTTCTGACTCTGGTCACTGAGTAATCATGTACCTGCTTCTTTGCCTGTTAGTTTTTTTTTTTTTTTTTTTTTTTTTTGAGACAGAGTCTCACACTCTGTTGTCAGGCTGGAGTGCAGTGGTACAATCTCGGCTCACTGCAACCTCTGCCTTCTGGGTTCAAGTGATTCTCCTGCCTCAGCCTCCTGAGTAGCTGGGACTACAGGCTCCCGCTGCTGTACCCAGGTAATTTTTGTATTTTTAGTAGATACGATGATCACCATGTTGACCAGGATGATCTCGATCTCTTGACCTCGTGATCCACCCACCTTGACCTCCCAAAGTGTTGGGATTACAAGCGTGAGCCACCACGCCTGGCCCGCCTGTTTTTAAGTCAACCTTGTTGAGGTGTGATTTGCATTCCATGAAATGCACCCCTTTCGTGTCCATTTGATGAGTTCTGATGCTGGGGTGTCCCCTGTGTTGAGGAACTGGGGTGCTCCCTGCTCCACAGCCTTCATCCCAGCCCTGGCTGTGGGCAGCCGTTGGTCCACGTGTCCCTGGGCGTTAGTTTTGCCTTTGCCGGGGATTTTTAGGTGAGCGAGTGGGTTGGCTGCCTCTTCCCCAGAGTTGTCTCTGAGGCGGGGAGGTTTGTCCCCTGCAGCGATCTCGGAGGGGGATTTTGGGTCCGAGTCGTGTCTCAAGGTTTGTCTCTGGGCCAGGCTGCATCTGAGGGAGGGTCAGGGGGCTCATTTTGGAGACTGCTTCATTCTTTCCATCGCCTGCTGTGGAGACAGTGGCTGGCGGTGCTGCGGTGGCCTCAGTGAACATAAGGTTGACTGGGAAGTAGGTTTCTAATTGTCTAATGCTGTTGAATATTTTGGGTGCACGTTGTGGGAGTTGGGGAGATGCTGGTTGGCAGGCCACCTGCTACAGCCCCAGCTCACATGTGTATGTGGTGAAGGAGCATTTTTAGTGTTATAGAATAAATTTTAGGGTTGTAGAATAAATTTAGGGTTATAGAATAACGTTTAGGGTTATAGAATAAATTTTCTCCAAAATAATGGAGGAAAATTGCCTGAGGGTGGATAACCATATGGGAAAAAAGTTCTACTTAGAGGATCCTCCCCACCCCCGGTATGCTCATAGTCCCAAGTTGCTAAAAGAAAATAAATTAGGTTGGGCACGGTGGCCCACTCCTGTAATATCAGTAGTTTCGGAGGTCAGGGTGGGAGGATCACTTGAGGCCAGGAGTTCAAGACCAGCCAGCGCAACATAGCAAGACCCCATCTCTACAAAACATTTGAAACATTAGCTTAGGTGTGGTGGCATTACCTGTAGTCCTAGCTACTTGGGAGGCTGTGACAGGAGAATCACTTAAGCCCAGGAATTCAAGGCTGCCGTGAGCTGTACTCCAGTCTGACCAAAGAGAGAGACCCTGTCTCAAAAAAAAGAAAGAAAAGAATCTATCTAATGTCCATCTCAGTATCTAGTTTGGGGAAGTCAGAGATTAACCCAGTTTCCTGGTGCCATCTTGTCACTGCCTCATGACCTAACTGGCACTTGACGTAGAGGTTTGAAGCTGGGGTGGGAGTTCTTGCTTACAGGCCTTCAAGAGACACTTGAGCTCTTTGTGGAGCACAGGGCAGCCTTCCGGGGAATTCTGAACTTTGTCCATGGGTCTCTTCATAGAATCGATATCCTGGGCTGTCCTGGTCATGCATGGCTTGTGTGACCACTGAGTGCACACACAGGGCCCCAGCGCATTCCAGAAGACGGTGGGATGAAAGCGGGGAGAGCAGAGGGTGCTGGTCCCTGCTGGGCGTCCCTCCAGCCTGAGGATGTGCCTTCTCTGCACTCCACACAGGCACATCCTCTGTGCCCACCCGGTCCCCAGGTCCTGCTGTGCGGAGGGGGATGATGACCCCTTCTGTTTCTTTCTTGGGAGCCTCTTGTGACCCCCACTCCTGGCTTCCCCTCTCCAGGCTTTGTAGGTTCACAGCCTCTTTGATTTCATGGTTCGTAGGGCAGAGGGTTTGTGCTTTAGTGGAAGTGACACACGGGATGCATCACACACAACCCCAGCTCCACACATGCGCACGCACACTCAGTGTTTGGGATGGGAGTGGTGGGGGTGGGAAGGCAGAGGTGGGCTGGGCCATGCTCAGGTGAGAGGGGGATGGGGTGAGGGGTGGGGAGAGCAGAGGTGGGGCTGGGCCATGCTCAGGTGAGAGGGGCACGGGGGGAGAACAGAGGTGGGGCTAGGGCAGGCTCTGGTGAGAAGGGTCTGGGGGTCCAGTGAGAAGGGGCCAGGCTCTGGTGAGAAGAGGCCGGGGTCTGCCAGCACAGGGGTGGAGTTAGAATCTTCACGCTTCCAAAGGTGCAGGGGCATGGTCCTCAGAGCTCCAGTCCCTCTGGGCAGCCCCCCATTGGGGATTTGGGGTACATGGCATATGGGGTTCTGCAGTCCTGCAGGGGCTGCTTTAACAGTACAAACCCAGGGATTCCGAAACATAGGTCACTCATGTTTTTGTTTCTTACAGTCCTTACTACCATTTTGTGAAACCAGCATTCAGCAGATGACACTCTGTGGAATGCCAGTGTGCAGGATTTGGCAGGTTGGTGCCAGCAGCCAGGAGAAGGGCTAAATGATGCCTCATAGCTGGTGTTTGCTGGCTGTGAGTATGTGGAGGAAAAGCGGAGAGGCCAGACGGGGATCAGGCCACACTGGGCTACAGGGCCCTGGGAGCCTCAGCTCCATCCACAGTAGGACCCAGGCTGGAGCACTCTGAGATGGAGGAATGAAAACGTTGTATCAGAGAGGTCATAACATTTTGTTACTAAGGGTGATAGCTTTAGTGGTGCCTAAGAGAAGACACAAAGCTACAAAGCTTCTCTTTTGCTGGATTTTTTTTTTTTTTTTTTTTTAGACCAGAGTCTCGCCCTGTTACCCAGGCTGGAGTGCAGTGGCACAATCCAGGCTCACTGCAACCTCTGCCTCCGGCACGATCTTGGCTCACTGCAAACTCTGCCTCCTGGGTTTAAGCAGTTCCCTGCCTCAGCCTCCCGAGTAGCTGGGATTACAGGTACCAGCTGCCACGCCTGGCTAATTTTTGTATTTTTAGTAGAGATGGGGTTTCACCATATTGACCAGGCTGGTCTTGAACTCCTGACCTCATGATCCACCTGCCTCAGCCTCCCAAAGTGCTGGGATTACAGGTGTGAGCCACTGTGCCTGACCCTGCTTGAGTTTTTCTGTGAGATGTTGGAACATAGAGAAGCTTTTCTGTGGGCTTGGTCAGTTCTGGTGCACCCTCTATACTGTCTCTTCCTGTGGGCGGGCACCTGGGCATGGTCACCTGCAGAGCCCGCCTTAGAGGAGGTATCTTGGTGCTTCCCGAGGAGCAGGCTCCTGCACCACACAGGTGGGCTGCCTGGCACCTGCCGTGAGAAGAGGCGTGGGAGTTATGCCCTCGGGCAGGAGAGGAAAAGTGCTCTCCTGAGTTCGTGGCCAGCACGGACTGTTATCACTAAAGGAAGAAAAAGTTAAGTTGAGAAGTAAATGTGGCATCTATTTTAATTAGCTTTTAAAATTACTAATGCTGCTGGATTTTGTTTCGTTTTGTTTTTGTTCCTTCTGTGGAACACTGTGCTTTTTGAAATTTTGTGTTTTTCTTTGTCTTCACCCTATTAGTTCACTGTTCACCTCCGGGTACCCTCTCACTTGGTTTTAAAAGTCCTTATTCTTTACTGTGCATATCGAGTTCCTCTAGATTTGATTTTTGATGTGGGGATTATGGGGAAGCTCAAACCTTGATTCACTCGCCGCCTCCTTTGTCCGTCTGGTCATTCATTGCGTCTGTTGAACATTTAAAAAATGCAGGTGGCCTTTCATGCAGAGTAGCCAAAATGGCTCACGTGGAGCCTCATTGCTGGAGGTGAACGTGGTGTGAAGCGGCCTCCATGTGTCCCAGGGCACTGGCCTATTTTAGGTGCCTGCCCAGTGTCACCTCCTCAGCCTCAGGTCGCTGTGGGTGAGTTGACCGGCACCCAGGCCGCTTGGTAGCCAGCGGAGAACGGCCCTGGAAGTGACTGTGAGCTTGGCTGTATCCTCCAGCCTTGGGGGTTGCGATCTGTGCTGTATAATATACTGTAACAGTGCAGAGGCCAAGGCCTGGAGGGGGCCGGTGTGGGGGCTGGAGCCAGCCTGTGGGCAGAGTGCCCATGCGCCCTGCACTCCTGCTCATACAGCGTCCCTGCTCCCCTGACCTGTGCCTCAGGCCCAGAAAACCCTCTTTCAAGCTGCCTCTTTCCCGCTGGCCATCCTCTATCCCCAGGCCCACCACCTTCCCTTCCTCCCTTTGCCTCTTTGTCTCGCCTTGTGCGTTTCTTGGAGGCTTCCTAGGGAAGCATCCAGTGAGGCAAGGGGACCGTGGTGGCCCCTGCTGACCTGGGTGATATTCCTGGAGGTGCAGCTTATCTGCCTGCCTGCCTGGCCCCCTGTCCACCCTGGGCCTGGGCTGCTGTTTTCTCTACCCTTCCCTCTGCTCCCCGAGTCTCTGTGACCTCAGGCAGCCACTCCCTCTGCTGAGGAGCTCCCAGGAGACAGGGAAGGGCCTTGGTTTCTGGAGCCAGCACAGAGGGAATCAGCATGGCCACCCTCTGAGGACTGCATCCTGGCTCCCTGTCCTCCCAGGAGAACGTCTGTGGCTTTTTCCAGGTTGCTGTGGGAGCCTCACCTGCAAGTGGCACCTTCTCACCTGCTGGGCTGGCTCACCTGCTGAGGGGGCTGCAGGGTTCCCCTCCTACTGTTCTGTGTTGATAAGGGGGTGCTGAGGGCGCTCTGGGGTTCCTGTTGGTAAGGGGGTGTTAAGAGGGCTGCCCAGCTGCGTGAGAGCTAGAGAGAGATGGGGGCTGTGGTGGTTGTTGCTGAGTCTTCCAGTTTTTCAGAAGTTGGGAAATTAGGCTGTTATGTAGGAGCTCCTGACTTTGACGTGGTGGCGGCCAATTCAAGTATTGAAAATTCCCTTCAGTCCAAACTGCAGGCTGATTGAGATTCCCGCCCCAGGACAGTCAGGGAGGGTCAGGGCTGGGGCTTTCCACGAGTGTGTGCCACACACAGCCCAGCCTTGGAGATGGTGGCTCTGCAGGCCCGTGTCCCAGCTCTGTGGTGACTCTGGGAGATGGGGAGATCGTAGGGCCTGCCAGTCATTGGCCTGTGGTTCTGCCCTGCAGAGGCTCATGCCTGAGCTGATGAGATGCTCAACCCTGGTCAAAAGTCAGCAAGAAGGCCTGGGAGCCTGCAGCTAGGGGAGCACGGGGCCAGGGAGGCCTGGGGGCGGGGGCGGTACAGACCCCTGGCTGCCTTCTCCTCTCCTGTGGGAGTGTGTGTGCATGTGGAAGTTCCGTGTCTGGCCCACCTGCTGCTCTGCACACTGACCCAGCCTTCCACAGGCAGGAAGCAGGGCTGCTGTGAGCTAGAAACTGGGCTTCTTGCCTGGTGGCGGCCCGGAGGCTGCAGGGAGGGCCTGGGGCACCTGAGCTGAGCTGTGGGAGGGGGACTCAGGACCACCAGACCCTGGTACCGGTACCTGGGTTCTGGGGAGGGCCAGATGTGCTGAGGGGTCCCGAGTCAGGCTGTGTGGGGGTCTTATGGCCCCTCACTGGAGCCCCACCCCACCTGGAGTCTGGGAGATGGGCAACAGTTGCCTGGTCACTCTGGTGTTCACCAACCAGGCTCCTTCCCCGGGATGCCGCTTGGGGTCTGGGAGAGGTAGAGTGGATGGGCCTCCCTCCTGGCCCGGTCTCTCCCGCTGCAGGTTCGGGACTGGGAGGGGCAGCGTGGGTGGGTCTGCCTCCTGACACAGGGTCTCTCCTGCTGCAGGTTCGGGACCAGGAGAGGTGGCGTGGGTGGGTCTGCCTCCTGACACAGGGTCTCTCCTGCTGCAGGTTCGGGACTGGGAGGGGCAGCGCGGGTGGGCCTCCCTCCTGACATGGGTCTCCCGCTGCGAGTTCTTCGGGACTGGGAGAGGTGGCCTGGGTGGGCCCTCTCCTGACACAGCGTCTCTCCCGCAGGTTTGGAAGGCGCTTTGAGTCCCCACTGCTGTGGCAGAGCGCCATCATGATCCTGACCATGCTGCTGATGCTGAAGCTGTGCACCGAGGTCCGTGTGGCCAACGAGCTCAACGCCAGGCGCCGCTCCTTTGCAGGTTGGTGGCCGGCGCTTTGGAATAAAGTCCCAGGGAATCAGGGCGAAGGTGACTCTGGTGAAACAAAAGCCACTCTAATCTGTCCTGATCCAGGCAGCTTTCATTTCGCCAAGTGGTGCTGTTATCTTCAACTGATAGTGTTTTCAGTGTGTTAAATGACTTTAGTTAAACAGTTTATAACTTGAAACAATTCACGATAATGATTTCTTCACTGGAAGTTGGGTGAGGCCTTAACAGCTTCACAATTCTTGGAGCGCCATCCCAGACGGTTTTTGTGTCCGAACAAGAAGTGCTCGTCTGTGCCTGGCTGCATCAGGTCAGACGGTGCCAGGTCAGGCGTTTCGTCTCTGTGTGCGTGGCCTGTACACAAAACACACTTTTTCAGTTTGGCTGTGACTCACGGGCTACCTTAGCCAGGGCCTTTCTCACAGACCTTGTTAAACAGACCCAGAGTCACCCCGCAGGGTCAGGCAACCCCTTTATCCGGAGCACACGGGCAGGGTACGCACACTGCCGAGTTGACAGCCGGGCAGGACCAATTACATGCTTAGCACATGCTTAGCACACATGACTCCTTAACCTTTGGTGGCTTAGAAAATAGAAAAGACTTCTTCCAGTGTTTGCCTTTTGCACAGTTTGTTCCAGTCTGAACCCTCTTTGAACATGCAGGCTAGCAGGCTTCTTGTGTGCAGGAGGGTTAAATCCTTCCTTTTGTTTTTCTTCTAATTTCTCAGTCGAAGATGGCGCTCCCTTTGGCTTTGAGAGAGAGGTTGATCTCAGCTGTCTCTTGGAGAAAAGTGTCTCCCTCAGAGTTTGTTTAGTTTGGGGCTTCTGTGGATTTGAGATCTTGCTGGGGAGTTGTGTCCCTGTTTCTATTCCCGATCACTGGTTCTTCCTGTTGGAGAGGATCCCACCTCTCCCTTTTTGTCTGCTCCTGTTTCTAGACTGAGGTGAATGTGTGCTGCTTTCAGCCTCTGTAGAAACCCGACCAGCCTCCAGCCAGTGTGACCTGGGCCAGGTAGTGTCATTGTGGCTGCGAGATGAGCACCAGTGTCTTTTTTTTGTTCTGTTCTTTCTTCCCATTCCCGCCGTTCTCCTCTCCTCTGAGTCTCTGCTCTGTTTCCTCCTATTGTGATTTGGGTTTGAAATTACACCAGAGATGGTGCTGACGATACCACAGATCTTGCCTAGAAAGCAGGCTTTTTTGTTTTTTCGAGATGGAGTCTTTGCTCTATTGCCCAGGCTGAAGTGAGTGGCGCCATCTTGGCCCACTGCAAGCTCCGCCTCCCAGGTTCACACCATTCTCCTGCCTCAGCCTCCCGAGTAGCTGGGACTACAGGCGCCGCCACCACGCCCGGCTAATTTTTTGTGTTTTTAGTAGAGATGGGGTTTCACCGTGTTAGTCAGGATGGTCTCGATCCCCTGACCTCGTGATCTGCCCACCTCAGCCTCCCAAAGTGCTGGGATTATAGGCGTGAGTCACCGCGCCCGGCGGAAAGCAGGCTTTTAAGAACCGGCCGGATTCCCCGCGAGGTGAGGAACTGCGGTTTTACATTTCGGTTTAGGTGACTCGGTCTTGCTCCCTGCAAGGCTTTGCTCCTTCTCTGGAGCTGAGCTCCTCGTGGCGTGTTCCCTGCCCCTTTGAACCTCAATATTTAACTTGGAACAGGAATGTTCTCACTGTGGGAGGGCCAGCCAGCCGAGAGAACAGTTTGTGCCTAAGATGCCCAATGCATTGCTGGGTGTTTCTGCTGCCCTCAGGCTCTGGACATGAGGCCAGACCTTGTGACCTTGTTGAAGGTGGGCTGACACGAGGTCCCAGAGACGGCAGGTTGTGAGTGTCTAGGCAGTGCAGCCAGCGTGGAGTTTAATGTGAATGTATGTTGGAACACTGGGATACCCCTAGAAGCGGCATCATAAGCTCCCCACCCACATTCATTTTACCAGCAGGTGCACTCTCGTCTCATCAGAGGAGCGTTGGTTAAGAAGGGAGTGGGATGGTGGGTGCCTGGCATTCTGTGTCACTTCTTCCAAAGGAGCACTTCTCTTTTGGTTACCCAGGATGAGTTAAAAACGTGAGTCCCTGTTTCCAGAGCTAGGCCTGGAATCCGAATTTTAAACACCCTCCGTGGGTGGGCAGAATAATGGCCCCAAGAGACATCCATGCCCTGATCCTGGGAACCTGTGACGTGCTACTGTACATGGCAGAGAGACTCTTGACGGGGGCTGGTCCTGGATTATCTGGTGGCCTCACCTAATTCCAGGGGTCCTCAGACGTGACAAGGGCCGCAGACGAGATGGTCAGGTGCTGGAGCTGAGGGCCCGGCTCTCTGCCGTGGGTCGGCCGTCGCTTTACAGGCAGCAGAGCCCCCAACCACAGGGAGCGGAGTTCTGCCCATACTTGAATGAGTAGGAGACACAGCCTTGGTTTTAGTCCAGGAGACCGTTGGGCCTCTGGCTTCCAGAATTAAGATAATCAGCCTGCGTTGTGGCTGCCCCTTTTGTGGTACCTTGTTACAGAGGCGATAGGAAGCTGGGGCACCCTTTCCTTTCCTCAAGGCCTGGAGTATTTGGGAAGCAGTCCAGGGCTGCTGTGAGGGGATGAGGGCTGGGCTCCTGGGGTCAGCCTGGGTGCCCTGTGCCTGCCCTCCCCTTGGGGAGGACAGAGAACCAAGCTGCATGGCTCCTGGGCCCCGAATGACTTCAGGTGGGAAATCCACTCCTGAACTCTGTGTCCTGGGGTATAGCTGTGTGTGTTTAAGAATTCTTGAGATTTACATCTGTAGCACTCTTAATATTGGAGTCCAGTTTGAGTTTATGCATGTCCATATCCCCTTGGTGAACAGGCCCAGACCTGTTCCTACAGGGCGCCTTGATGGAAGGTGTGAGCTCATGTCCTGTCATCTGCCAGGAGAGGGGAGGGCAAGGCAGGAACATCACTGAAGTTCAGATTGAAAGCTCTGGCTTCTGGCCACCCGATCTGTAGCTCCTGCAGCACGGCCCCGTGCCAGGCAAGGTGGCCAGCCTCGTCTTCTGGCGTCACCTTGAAGGGAAGGTTGTTGGCTCTGAACATGTGCTGTTTTTCTTTTCTTTTTTTTTTTTTTTTCCCAAGCTTTTAAGTTCAGGGGTACATGTGCAGGTTTCTTATACAGGTAAATTGCTTGTCACGGGGGTTTGGTGTACAGATTATTTCCCTAACTCCTGAACTCCTGACCTCAAGTGGGATCCACCCACCTTGGCCTCCCAAAATGCCTGCATTACAGGTGTGAGCCACCGCACCCGGCCAGTGTACAGATGATTTCATCATCCAGGTATGAAACCTAGTACCCATTGGTTATTTTTCCTGGTCCTCTCCCTCCTCCTGCTCTCCACGCTCCGACAGGCCCTAGTGGCTGCTGTTCCCCTCTACGTGTCCATGTGTCCTCATCATTTAGCTCCCACTTATATGTGAGAACATGCGGCATTTGGTTTTCTGTTCCCGTGTTAGTTTGCTAAGGATGATGACCTCTAGCTCCATCCATGTTCCTCTAAAGGATATGATCTTGTTCTTTTTTGTGGCTGCGTAGTATTCCGTGGTGTACATTTACCACGTTTTCTTCATCCAGAAGAAAGTCTAGATGATTTTAGGTTAATTCCAAGTCTTTGCTAGTGTGAATAGTGCTGCAGTGAACATACATGTGCGTGTGTATATAATAGAATGATTTATATTCCTGGGGTTTATACCCAGTAATGGGATTGTTGGGTTGAACGGTATTTCTGGTCTTTGAGGAATCACCACACCGTCTTCTGCAATGGTCGAACTAGTTTACACTCCCACCAACAGTATGTACGTGTTCCTTTTTCTTCACAACCTCACCAGCATCTGTTATTTTTTTTTTGACTTTTTATTAACAGCCATTCTGACTGGTGTGAGATGGCATCTCGTTGTGGTTTTGATTTGTATTTCTCTAATGATCAGTGACGTTGAGCTTTTTTTCATATGCTTTTTGGCCACATGTATGTCTTCTTTTGAAAAGTGTTCATGTCCTTTGCCCACTTTTTAATGGGTTATTCGTGTTTTTCTTGTAAACTTAAGTTGTTTATAGTTTCTGGATATTAGACCTTTGTCAGGTGCGTAGTTTGCAAAAATTTTCTCCCATCTGTAGGTTGTCTCTTTGCTCTGTTGATAGTTTCTTTTGCTATGCAGAAGCTCTTTAGTTTAATTAGATCCCATTTGTCAATTATTACTTTTGCCAAGCACATTCTTGAGCCTTGCCCTAAGGGTGAGGACATGCCAAGGGGGACCATGGGCCTTGGGAGGCACAATTCTTGGCAGACTGATGAAGACGTGAAAATAGCTTAGGAGGGAACATTTCAATCACTGCATTTCACTGTGCTCATGGATAGTCAGATGACCTAATGAGATAAAAGTGTAAATGTTTTCCAGCTATCTTTTATAGGGATTTTAAGTTTTGAAGGTCACAAATTCAGTTTGAAAGTTCATATAGAAGAAATATAAATGGTATTAAGAAAGAGTAGATTATTGAAACAATTAAATACATTATTTGTTGTCTGATGATAAAGAACAGTGCATGCTCATGGTAGACATTTGGGGAAGACAGATATAAAGAAAAATAACTTCTGGCCGGGTGCAGTGGCTCATGCCTGTAATCCCAGCACTTTGGGAGGCCAAGGTGGGCGGATCACGAGGTCAGGAGTTTGAGACCAGCCCGGCCAACATGGTGAAACCCCGTCTCTACTAAAGATACAAAAAATTAGCTGGGCATGGTGACGCGTGCCTGTAATCCCAGCTACTCAGAAGGCTGAGGTGGGAGAATCACTTGAACCCAGGAGGTGGAGGTTGCAGTGAGCCAAGATTGGGCCATTGCACTGCAGCCTGGACCACAGGGTGAGACTCCATCTTAAAAAACAAAACAAAACAAAACAAAAAACCACCTTCCACCCCACCCTCCAGAGGTGACTACTTTGAACGCCGTGGCATGCTTCCAGGTCTCTTCCTTTTTTCTTCTACAGTCTCCTTTCACAAAATTGGCATGAATTTCAAAATTGTGATCAGACTTTAAAAAGAAACCCTCATTCCACTGAGACGTTTTCCCACGCCCTTTTTCGTTGTGAGTCAGGGTTGGGGCCTCGTCACTCCCTCATCTCCCTCATTTCCTATCTCCCTCATCACTGGAGGGAGATGACCCACAGGGCCCTGAGTGCCCAGCCTGAGGAAGGCAGGGCTGGTGCCCTGGGCAGAGCTGAGCCTGTTTGGCCAGGCCATGGCTGACTGCAGTTGGGAGTGAGTGCACACCTGTCTCTCGCGTGCTGGGTTATTTCTTTTTACCGTTCACTTTGCATTATGGAGAATTTCAAGTGTTTACCAAGTAGGTGGGGTGGTATACAGCCCTGAGGGTGATGGGACCCACAGTTGCATTCAGGTCTCCTTCCTGCAGGGTTTTCTTTTTTTTTTTTTTTTTTTCGAGACAGGGTCTCACTGTGTTGCCCAGGCTGGAGTGTAGTGGTAGTATCAGAGCTCATTATTGCCTTGAATTCCTGGGCTCTAGCCAAGCGATCCTCCCACCTCAGCCTCCCAAAGCATTGGAGTTATAGGTGTGAGCCCTTGTGCCTGGCAGTATATACGTTTTTGTTGTTTAAAAATCTGTAGGTTTTCCCTTAACTCCTCTCGACTTTGCCCGTGGTCTGTATTAGCGGCATCTTAACAAGATTGCTGACTACGCCTGCAGGCTGAGTTTTGGGAAGCCCCACAGTGGAGATGGCACTCCTGGTGTTTCCTCCTGTCTTTATGTCCTTGGAGTGTAGACAAGGAAAAGGTGTTCTGTTCTTGGCTTTTTCTGTGAAAGAGCATTTTAAAAAAACAGTGGACCCTGAGGCCCGATCACATCCAGGTTTGGTTCTTGTGTTTTGCAGGATGGTTGCATCGTTCCATAGGAGGTGTGTGTGGTCAGCGGCCACTGAGGGGCTCATGCTGAGGCTGTGAGCTCGTCAGGGCTGCAGGATGTTTGTGGCCTGTTTTTTTTTGTTTTTGTTTTTTTTTTTGGAGACGGAGTTTCACTCTTGTTGCCCAGGCTGGGGTGCAATGGTGCGATCTCAGCTCACAGCAACCTCCACTTCCTCAGCTCAAGTGATTCTCCTGCCTCAGCCTCCAAGTAGCTGGGATTACAGGTATGCACCACCATGCCCGGCTAGTTTTGTATTTTTTTTAGTAGAGACAGGGTTTCTCCATGTTGGTCAGGCTGGTCTCGAACTCCCGACCCCAGGTGATCCGCCCGCCTCGGCCTCCCAAAGTGCTGGGATTACAGGTGTGAGCCACCACACCCGGCAAAGTGTGACTGTGGTCTGTTAGCTGGAGCCCCTCTGCAGAGAAACGGGCTGGTACCCATTGTTCAGCTTCCACAGGTACAATTTATAAAGGAAATGCAGGTCTCTCTTCACCAGTTTTCAAAGTTGGTTCCCTAGCATCTTGCAGTGATGAGTACATGTTTCTGAGTCATTCTGAACACGTGAAGTGGATGTTTGGTGGTTACTGGATTATCACACTTGTTAAAGCTCCAGTTCTTCCCTCTGGCCGGGGAGCCGCATCAGGTGCTGCTGGGCCCTTTCCACCCAGCATGAGGGGTCTCTACGCAGGATCTGGCATAACACAGTACTCGTGTGGCAGCTACGTCTCCTGCCCCAGACCTAGAACCCGTGGTTTCTCCAAGGAGCGCTGGTATCTGGGACACAGTGTTTGGAGACCACAGCCTGGGCGTGCATGAGGGTTGGCCTACAGGTTGAGTTTTTGGCTTTTTCAGTGGATGGACCTAGGGAGTGTTTTCTGGTGAGGTGAAATACTTCATGAGTGGACACCAGTTCTTCCCATTTTACTTCAAACCTCTAGGCCTGGCCGCGTTGCTTAGCCTGAGGTCTGCCTCCCTTCTGCCCTGTACCAACTCCCTTCCTCAGGGACCCCACAAATAATGGAATGTGGCATCCTCATGCCTCCTTTAGTCCTCTCTGTGTGCGGCAGTCTGAGGGTCACCATGCTGGCACCAGCCTCCCGGTGACTGAAAACGTTTGTTTTATTGGGGGTGGGGGTTTATATGCTCAGGATTGCACATCCTCAGGGCACTTCCTGCTGGGGACAGAGGTCAGGTCACTGCTGCATATTATGTCACCGGGAAACAGACGCACCTTGTCAGGGGGGCACCAGCAACTGGGTACATGGGGTCATTTGTTTCATTTTAAATATTTGCTTTTATAAAGTTTAACTTTGTTTTATCATGTACTTTTTTCCTTTTAAGTTCCTCTTAGGGGTTATTTGAGAAATAATTGTCTGTGGCTCAAAGTCAGGTGGTTTAATTTACTTCAAATTTCTCCCAAATCTCAACGCTCAGAGTTCTAGGCTGGAGGCCAGGGAGAGGGAGTGGCTGCTGGTTAGTCGAGGGTTTTTTTTGGGGGTGCTGAAGGTGTCCTAAAATTAGATAGTGATGGTGTTTGCACAACTGTGGATATCCTAAAAACCACTGAATTGTACACTTTAAACAGGTGAGTTAGTTATAGCTCAAGAAAGCTGGAAAACGTGTTGTATGTAGGGGTCCTGTGCCATCTTGCGTGCATTTTCAGGGGTTTATTGAGATTCTTGGACGTCACGTTAGGAATCCCTGTGTACCTCCCATTGCGGGCTTGCCTGGGCCACTGTGATCATATGCTCTTCCCTGGTCCCAGGCTGGCTGGCACCTCCCTGTCACTATCACCCCTGCACTCCCCCATACACATCGTACCGACAGGGTACGGTGCAAACCTTTCTTCATGTGCTGACAGAAGCGGTCTCCAGTCGTGACATGGACCAAAGTCCCAGGAAGCAGGTGATGGCCTCTGTGGCCCAGCCATCCTCCTTCCTGCCAGCCCTGCGGACTTGTCCTGTCTCTCTTGTTCCAGTCTCTTTGGCTACTCCACAAGTTACCCCAGATCTTAGGACTTGGAAGGACAACAATTATTTTGCTCGTGAGTGCATTTTGGGTAGAACTTGGTAAGAACAGCTGGTCTCTGCTGTTCTCAATCTGGGGAGCTCAAAGGCTAGGGCTGCAGCCCTTGAAGCTCATTCTCTTGCTTTCTCTCTCTCTCTCCCTCATTCACTCTTTGGCATGGCTGGTGCTGGCCATCTCCTGGGACCTCCACCCGGGCTCTGCGGGGACACCCACCAAGGCCTCCTCATGAGACCTGGGCTTCCTCACAACATGGCCAGGTCCCAAGGGGGAGCTTCTTGGGAAAGCAGGTGGAAGCTGTATCTTTTTTATGACCTAAGTCTTGGAAATCACAGCATTGCTTCTGTGGACTGGAGTGGTCACAAGCCCACCTGTGACCGAGGGGAGAAGACACGGACACCACCTCCCAGTGCCGAGTGTCGAGGAAAAGGAAGATGTTGCTGGGCCCTCTTTTTATCTGGTCTGGAGGACGTGTTCAGCACAGATTTGTGGAAATGTGTGACTGTTGAAATGTTCCTGGCAGCGCTCTCAGCGTCAGAACTCTTTGCATTTCGTCCTACACAAACATGGATCTGATCACACTGCTTTCAGGTGGCTTGAGGGTGTGCCCAGGACACAGCCTGGTGTGGAAGGGTCCAGCCTCTGCAGCCTGAACCATACCTTCTTCCCCAGCCTGCCAGCTGGCTGCCTCCCCCGCTTGCCTGTTCACAGTCACACCTGGATGTGAGAAGGGAAACAGCGTAGACCGAGCGGTCCTGCCTTGGGTGGTCCCTCCCTCCTGCCCACCCCTTGCGGATCTTGGTCTTTAGAAGAGGCACCAGTGGAGAGGGATATTGTCTAAATCAAAGCAACAGATGGGATGAGCTGAGGGACATAGAATCCAAGGGCAGTGTTGGGGGAGCCTGGGGGAGAGGAGACTGCACTTTGTGTGCTGCGTTGGTTTATAAAACCCTCAAATTTGGTGGAAATATTGCAGTTCCCGCCTTGTGAGTGGAACAACACCCTAAGTCCAAGTAGCAGAGGGCAGAGGGCAGAGGTCATCTTGTATTTGCTTTTAGCTGTTCACTTGCAAAATTTCCATTTTAAGTCTACATTGCCTAGAGCAGGCAACACACAACCTTTGATCCCACTTCTGCTTTCTGATCCCAGGATTCATTTGAGTCTCTTGTTTATCAACCGTTTTCAATCCCAAACCCCACGGGGCTTCCCAGGAGCCACCTAGAGGCTGCAGTGTTTTCCAGGACCTTGGCTGCTGTCTTGTCCTGGGGCTGCGCAGATGGGCAGGTTGGCTAATAACCTGTCATTGCAGGTGCTGGGCCCTGGAGGGTGCTGGGTCCCTGTCACATCGTCCCTGTGTCTCTGTGCAGAGGTGCTTGTCAAGTGCACATGTGGAACCAGCCAGCCTTTTACAGCAGAGTGTACTCTGAAACAGCTTTATCAGGCAGCCTTCTGAAGGGTTTTGACCTGGGGCAGCTGTATTGCCACCGAAGCTTGCATATAGCCGAGTTTCTAGGAAAAGGGGAGCAGGATCTGTCTGGCTGCTTTCTATCGGCACAGCACACTTGTGGCGGGCTCCGTGCTGCCTTTCTCCTGAGAGATTAAATGGAAATGTGATAACTTTTAATTTTTGGCTCAATTTTTCTCCCATTCTCCCCATTCACTTTTTTATGATGTTGGAAGAGGTTAGGTTTGCAGAAAAATAGTTCAGAAAGCGGATTTTCTAATGCACAAAACCAAAATCTTGTGATCTTTCTGTTCTAGTTTTTTTTTTTTTTTTTAAAAGAAATGCAAAAAGTTCTGAGAACACAGCTGTTGACCTGCGTTAAAACCAGTCTGTTTCTGTCTTTTTCCCCTTTCTGTTTCTGTTTCACTTTTTAACGTGTAGCTGCAGATAGCAAGGATGAAGAAGTCAAGGTCGCCCCCAGGCGGTCCTTCCTGGGTACGTACCCTGCGCGTGCACCGCCCGCAGCGCCTTCCTTTCACCTCATTCCTGCAGCTGTGCTTCCTCCTGTCATTGCTTCCATCTGTGCATGTGCGTGTACGTCATCTTTACCAAGTGTGGCCGAGTCTACAGCAAACTAATCAACCCCTAGCTCTGCTGTTTTCAAGCATGAAGTAGTTCTTAGAAGCCTATCCATGTTCTTCTGTGTGTGGGGAGATGGGGGCGGGAAGGGGAAGAGGGAGGGAGACAGGAAGGGAGGAGAAAATTTTAGATGACAAATTTTGGACTTTGTTAAATTTATTCCAAAGTATTTTATCCTTTTTGATGCTATTGTGAATGGAAATGTTTTCTTAATTTCAGTTCTGCTTGTTCATTGCTACTTTATAGAAATGTAATTGATCATTGCATGTTGATCTTGCATCATGCAATTCTGCTGAACTGGTTTGTTCTAAGAGTTGTTTAGTAGATTCTCTATATATGATTCTGTCATTTGCAAATAGAGATGGTTTTAATTCTTCCTTACCAGTTTAGTTGCTTTTATTTCTTTTTATTGGTTAATTATCCTGGTTATAAGCAGTGAGAGTGGATGTACCTATCTTATTCTTCATTTTAGTGAGAAAGCATTCCATCTTTCACCACTAAGTATGATGTTAGTCAATGGATTTTCCATGGTTGCCCTTCATTAGGTTAAGGCAGTTCCCTTTTATCTGAGTTTGTTGGGTGTTTTTATAATAAGAGTTAGAGTTTGCCACATGCTTTTCTGTGTCTGTTGAGATGATCATGTGGGTTTTGTTTTTTATTCTACTATGATGATGTACTACCTTGATGAATTTTTGTGTGTTGAACCAACCTTGCATTCTTGGGGTAAATTCATGTGGTCATGGTGTCTAACGCTTTTTATCTGTTGCTGGATTTTATTTGCTGGTATTGTATTGGGGATTTTTTGTATTTGTATTCATAAAAGATAATGGTCTGTAGTTTTCTTGTGATGACTTTTTCTAGATTTAGTTCTAGGATAATACTGGCCTTAAAAATAAGTTGGGAAATGTTCCCCTCCTTTTCTATCTTTTTAGAGTTTGCAAAGGGTTGATACTAATTCCTCTTTAAATATTTTTAGAGTTATCCAGTGAAGCCATCTGGGCTTGGGCTTTTCTTTGTGGAAAGTTTTAAAATTACGAATTTGATCTCTTGTTATAAGTCTATTCAGATTTTTTGTTTCTTCGTAAGTCAGTTTTGGTAGTTTGTATTGGAATTTTTCCATTTCACCTAAGTTATCTAATTTGTTGACATATAATTTTTCTTAGTATTCCCTTAGAATCCTTTGTATTTTTGGAAAGTCGTTAGTAATGGTTCCTTTTTTATTCCTGACTTAAGTAATTTGATCCCCTCCTTTCCTTTCTTTTTTTGGTCAGTCTAGCTAAAAATTTGTCAATTTTTTGTTCTTGTCAAATAACCAACTTTTAAAAAGGTGTTTTTCTTTTCTTTCTTCCTTCCTTTTTTTTAACACAACACATACACATCGCCCATCAAAGAACCAATTTTTGGTTTTGTTGATTTTCTTTATTGCTTTTCTATTCTCTACTTTATTTCACTCTAATCTTTCTTTCCTTATGCTTGCTTTGGGTTTAATTTACCTTTTTCTTAAGGTGGAGGTTAGATCACTGATTTTTTTTCTTTCTTCCTTTCTAATGTAGTTACTGACAGCCATAATTTCTCTCTAAGTGGGTGCTTTACCTGCGTCCTATACTTTGGTGTGTGGTGTTTTTGTTTTCATGCACCTTAAAGTATTTTAAAATATACTCCAAGGACCCTTTTATTATTTAGGAATGTGCTAACTTCCACATATTTGTGAATATCCCAAAATGTCTTCTGTTATTGATTTCAAATTTATTTCCATTATAGTTGTAGAATATACTCTGTATTATTCCAGTACTTTTATTTATTTTTTTAAAATTTTTGGAGACAGAGTCTTGCTCTGTTGGCTGTGGTGTGACTTTGGCTCACTGCAACCTACGCCTCCTGGGTTCAAGCAATTCCCGTGCCTCAGCCTCCTGAGTAGCTGGGACTACAGGTGCGTGCCACTGCACCTGGCCAATTTTTTGTATTTTTTATAGAGACAGCGTTTCACCATGTTGACCAGGCTGGTCTCGAACCTCCTGAGCGCAGGTGACCCACCCACCTCAGCCTCCCAAAGAACTAGGATTACAGGCGTGAGCCACCACGCCCAGCCAGATTCCAGTACTTTTAAATAGAGGCATATCTTATGGCGTAGCATATGATCTATCTTGGAGAATATTTGATGTCCATTTTGCTGTGGTTGGGTGAAGGTGGAGGGTTGTCTGTTAGGTCAAGTCTACAATTTCTTTATTATTGTTCTGTGTAGTTGTTGTGTCCATTACTAAATGTAGGTGTGGAAGTCCGTAAGTATTTTTGAATTATCTTTTTCTCTTTTCACTTCTGTCATTTTTTGCCTGATGTATTTTGGGGCTTTGTTGGTTGTTAGGGACGTATATGCATATTTTCTGTTTTGATGTCTGTTTCTTCTGATGTTAGTGTCATCACATGCACATCTCCTGTGGTTGCCATTCGATATATTCTTTCCGTTGTTTTACTTTTAACTTTCTTATATCTTTGAATTTAAAATGAGTCTTCCATATACATACAATGGATCTTTAAAAAAATCCATTCTGGCAATTCTGCCCTCTGATTTGATTATTTCATTCACACTTAATGTTATATGTTCAGATTTACATCTGCTACTTTACTTTTTGTTTTCTGTATCTATATCCCTTGCCTTTTCCCCTTAGCTGTTGCTCCTTTACAGCTTCCTTTTGTATTAAGTAAATATTTTCTAATATAACATTTTAATTTATTTAAATAATGTTTTCTGAATTATTTTCTTAGTAGTTACTTGAAGGCTTACAACATGCATCTTGACTTATCAGAATCTACTTCAAATTTATACTAACTTAATTCCGGTGACAGGAACCTTACTCCTACATGGTTCAATTTCCTCCTCCGTTTTTAAATGGTATGATTATTATACATATTATGTCTACATGTATTACAACCTAGCAATATATTTTTCTGATTATTCCTTTATATACATTTTATGTCATTCAAGAACTTGAGGCTGGGCGCGGTGGCTCACGCCTGTAATCCCAGCACTTTGGGAGGCCGAGGCGGATGGATCACGAGGTCAGGAGATCGAGACTATCCTGGCTAACATGGTGAAACCCCATCTCTATTAAAAAAATACAAAAAAATTAGCCGGGCGTGGTGGCGGGCATGTGTAGTCCCAGCTACTCAGGAGGCTGAGGCAGGAGAATGGCATGAACCCGGGAGGTGGAGCTTGCGGTGAGCGGAGATTGCGCCACCGCACTCCAGCCTGGGCGACAGAGCGAGACTCCATCTCAAAAACAAACAAACAAAAAAAAAGAACTTGAGAGAAGAAAGGAGAACAAACATATGGTGTTATTATATTAACCTTATTTACCATTTGTAGTTCCTTTTATTTCTTTCTGAGACTGAGTGCCATCTACAGTCATTTTCTTTCTCTAATACAGTTTTGATCCCATCCATCTCATTTGTGCTATTGATATTATTGTCAGTTATATTACATTTCTTTAGGGTAAAGTCCCCCGAACAATACAATGCATATTGTTTTATGCAGTTACATTTTAAGTCAACTAAGAGAGGAAAGGAGAAGAAATGTGCACCGATATCACCTTTTATAATAACTGACATCATCGTCTTTATACTCTTTTTTTATGTGGATTTGAATTGCTTCTGATGTTACTTGTTTTCAGCATGAAAAACTTGTTTTCTGTAAGGTGTGCCTACTAGCAACAGATACTCTCAGTTCTTGTTTATCTGGGAATCTTTATTTTCCCCTTATTTTTTAAAAAATGTTTTACTAGATATAAGAATCTTAGTTGATGATTTTTTTTTCTTTTCAGTGCTTTGAATATGTTATTCCACTGCCCTCTGGACTCCATTGTTTCTGATGAGAAGTCAGCTGTTAATCTTATTGGGGTTTCCTTGTAAGTGATAAATTATTTTTCTCTTGCTACTTTCTAGATTTTGTCTTTGTTTTTTGGCATTCATTATTTAGACTGTGATGTGTCAGGGTGTGGATCTCTTTATCAGGCTTGCAATTTGTTGAGCTTCTTGGGTGTGTAGATTAATATTTTCATCATATTTGGGAAGTTTTCAAAAGTCATTATCTCCTTGAATATTTTTTTCTGCTCCCCTCTCTCCTCTCCTCAAGCTCACCCATTCTGCATGTGCCCGTGCCCTTTCCTGTCATCCCATCTTTCTCAGAGACTGTGTTCTTTTTTCTTAATTCCATTTTCTGTTTGTTCTTTAGGTTGCATAATCTTTATTGATCTTTCTTTGAATTCACTGATTCTTCTGCCAACTCAATCTATTGTTGAGCCCTTATAGTGAGTTTTAAAATTTCAGTTGTGCTTTGCAACATCAGAATTTCCACTTGGTTTTTTTTTTTTTTTTTTTTTTTTTTTTTTAGAATTTCTGTCTCTTTATTGATAATCTCTGTGTGATCAATTGTTGTCATCATATTTTCTTTTAATTCTTTATGCATGGATCCCTTTAGTTATTTGAACATATTTATAATAGTTATTTTAAAGTCTTTTTCTACTGAGTCCAACACTTGTGCCTCTTCAAAAGCAGTTTGTGTCCTGCTTATTTTTTTCCTCTTCTGTTTCTTTGTATAACTCATTTTGTTTTGTTATTGCAAGCTGGACATTTTAGGTAAACTATAGTAGCAGCTGTGGATACGGATTCCCCCACCTGGGAGAAGGATGACTTACTGTTTGCTTGTTTGTTTTGTGATTTAGCTGGACTAGTGCAGTCTCTGGACCTCTTCTCTCTCAGGTGTGGTGGTTCTGGCTGGCCGTGACCCTCCTTGATCTTCCTGTTAAGCTTCTGGTGGTCAAACCAGCTGTTGGCCTCCACTCACTGGTGGCTGCCGGCTG